AGGTATGGTAGAGGTTTTTGTACTTCTTGGGCATTCGCTTGATTTGCTTGGTACTAGGACGCCCAGTGCGTCGGCCATCGAGCTGAGTTGGCGCCATTATTGTTGCAACTTGCCGCCTTTCTGCAAATCAATGCAGGATTTATAAAGTTTCATGGGTATAGTTTACGAACGAGGTATTGTAGAAAATAATATATTGACTGAATAAGTATTTACAGTTTTTTTCTCTTCGCAACTGACATGTCAACTAAAGTAGTACGCGAAATTATAGCTGAGTCTCGCCTTGCTTTCGGCGATATTGCGTTGACGTGTGCTCATGAAACTAGGTCCAAGCATCTAAACGATGAAAGTAGGTACACCCCCAAAGTATCACGTCAATACCTGACCTGCACGCCGAGTGCTGTCCAAGTTCTCTGACTGTCACCGCACTGAGATGGGGTCGATATAAACGCAATTTTTAGGTAAATAGTTTGAGCACTGTAAAACTCAAACATTATCTTTGATAAGTTGATTTGATGTAAAGACGAAAAATCTTCAACTTTTACTATATAAGGAGATTCAATAAAACCTGATTGATTAACCGAATATCAGGTATAATGCGTAAACTTCTCCGCATCTCAACAACTTGTGTTGGATGCTAGTGACGTTGAGCGCAATCGCTTGATCTCTTCCGATCGGGTGATCGTCGAGAATTATTTTGGGCGGGTGTGTGCGTTATGGAAGGCCTCATACGCGACGTTCACGTGGTCGGAGAAGAACTATTGTGCTATTCAACGAACGACGTTTGCCCTGACGAACTTTCACCTGTCGTTGATGCCCCTACGTCTTGAAGACGAAACCTTTTATGGAATGGTCTTGGCGCGTTACGAAAGGATGGCAAATGAAAAGAAGCGTAAGCGTGCTGAGACGCAGCGCCGCTATCGTTTGAACCGACAAGAGAGAGCTGCATTGGACTTGGGCCGTGCTACCCGCAGTCGTTTGTACTAACAGTAATACAAGTTGTATTACTAATACAACTTGCTTTGATTTGGTACGATAGTTTGTGAATTTTCAGTCATTCAGGATTTCATCAGTAACTCAGTCATTTCGGAATTTACACTCTTTTAACTCAAAGAGGTATCACTGATCATTTGCAAGGTTGTTGCGTTTTAGTGCATCGACTGTTACAAATAAATGTAACTTTCGAAGTGAGTGGATCATATTGTTTTTATCTCTGTTAAATTGTGTAATACGTAGCTACTGGTTTAAAGATCTAATAATCAGACAGTGGATATGATATGTACACTACAGTCAACTGTACTAACGTTAGTACTATTAATAGTCCATGTACGTCGAATTGTACGACATACTGTACGTATCCAACAAAGAGTATGATATATGTACAGTACAGCACTACTGGTCCAGTCTCTGTACGTAGAACAGAGACTGGAACTTCTTTTGCTAAAACGTTACGAAGGTGTTACTTTGGCAATACTGTACCCAGACTTGAAATTATACCGGGGGTATCGTAATCGTTTTCGTAACTACTAAATAATCAGACAGTGGATATGATATGTACTGTACACAGCTGTACACAGCACTACAGTGAACTGTACTCCTTGTAGTACTATTAATAGTCCATGTACGTAGAATTGTAGTACGACATACGTATCCAATAAAGGGTATGATATATGTACAGTACAGCACTACTGGTCCAGTCTATGCACGTAGAACAGAGACTGGAACTTCATTTGCTAACGTTACGAAGCTGTTACTTTGGCGGTACTGTACCCAGACTTGAAATTTGCACCACCATAATGGTACATCGTACCGTTACTTGTAACTTTTTTTACCAGAGTTCGCATGCACCCGCAGGCTACATACAGTACTGGTTGACGGCAACTTCAGCCCTGGCACATACACAATTCGATGTCCCTTGCTCATCCATTATCCAAGAACCGTCGGTAGCAAATTGTTGTACTTACTTACCCAGTGCACAACTATATACGCATTGAAAATCGAGTACAATCAAATCCCTGAACCCTAGGGACAATGAGGTGGTAGAATGAGGAGATCGAGCCTGAAATCTGTAAATGGGGTTGTTGGGCTCTACATATGGTAATCATCGTGCCGTACTGTATACTACTTCGAAGTATTGTACAGTATCTCATTCTGATTTGGGTGCAAGCGATATGAAATACTTCAGTTTTCCCGTCCCCAACTAAACTGTCATTCTTCAATTCTGTTCATCAAACGCACATGAAAGCTAGTCTCGCCCTCTCCACCGCGCTCGCAACCACTGCGTGTGCCGCCCGACAATCTTTCAAATCCCTCAGCTCATCCGATCAAACCTCGTTGGAGCAACAGCTGGACGAATGGAAGGCGTTGTACGGCCCCATTGCCCGAGCCAACGGCTTCTTCCCCCGAACCAACAGGGAATCCGCCCAAGTCAATGGTCATTCTATCGATGAACTCGAGCGCTTCCACCATACCGTCCAAGACGTGGAGCTCGCTACCGCTACCAATCCGGAGGCCGAGTTCAGTCCGTTCAACCAGTTTGCTCTCTTGACCGACGACGAGTTCAAGGGCATATTGTTGAAGTCGTTTGCAGGACAAAATTTCACTAACGCCGCGCCCTTGCCCGAGTTGGCAAATGAGCGCGCTTCTGAAGCGGACTGGTCGACATCAAAGTGCAACTCCCCGATTCCTAATCAAGGCCAGTGTGGGTCGTGCTGGGCCTTCGCCACCATCGGGACGGTGGAGACTGCTCACTGCATTGCCACTGGTGAACTCTTGGACTTGTCTGAGCAACAATTGGTCAGCTGCTCCAAGAATGGAGGCAACCGGGGCTGTAATGGCGGGATCCCTCCTTCTGCCATTGACTGGATGCAAAAAGGCGTGTGCACCGAAGAGTCTTACCCGTACACGTCGGGTAAAGGTGGTCAAACTGGTACCTGCCAAACTAGCTGCACCAAGAAGAAACTGAGCATTGGCAAAACCAAGCAAACGACCGGCGAGGGTTCGCTCATGACAGTTCTGGAAAGCCAGACCGCCACTGTGGCCGTCGAAACTGCCAACGCAGTGTGGCGCAACTACAAGAGTGGCGTCGTGTCTCAGTGTCCTGGGGCCCAATCCGACCACGCTGTGATTGCCGTCGGCTATGGTACTTCCACGACCGATTACTTCAAGATCAAGAACTCGTGGGGGACGCAATGGGGCGAGAACGGGTACATATACTTGAAGCGAGGAATGAGTGGTAAGGGAATGTGCAACGTCGCGGAATGGATTTGGTATCCTGAATTAAGCGGATCGTCTCCAACTCCGTCGTCTAACCCGACCCCATCCTCCAGCCAGCAGCCTACTCAATCAACCCGCAAACCTTCTTCGTCCGCCCCCAAGCCCTCGACTGACACCCCTATGACGCCTTCGTCCAGCAAACCCACTTATCCCACTCGCAGACCGTTCCCTTCTTCGTTCCCCCCCAAACCCGCAACTGACTCGCCTATGACGCCTTCGTCCAGCAAACCCACTTATCCCACTCGCAGACCGTTCCCTTCTTCCTTCCCCCCCAAGCCCGCAACTGACTCCCCTATGCCGCCTTCGTCCAGCAAACCCACTTATCCCACTCGCAGACCATTCCCTTCTTCGTTCCCCCCCAAGCCGTCAAAGCACACCCCAATGACGTCAACTCCTAACCCTTCGAGCAACACCCCTACTACCACCAAACGCCGATGCACCAAGCGCCCTAAACCGACCAAGAAGCCCAAACCCACGGGACCTTCCCCGTCATACACCCCTTCCCCCACGATTGAGCCTTCTTCGACATATGTCCCAAAGCCTACAACTCAACCTTCTTCGACATATGCCCCAACTCCGTCTGGCAACGGTGTGAAGGACCAACTGATTGCCCAAACCAACAAAATTCGCGCGGCCCACGGTATCGGTCCGCTGACTTGGGATGATGAGCTGGAGCCCAAAATGCGGACTTGGGCCAAAAGCTGCCCTGGCTTTAAGCACGGGGGCCCCGCTGGCTGGCAAAACTTGGCCACCAACACGGCGTGCGGGTCGAGTGGCAAGGACTGCACGAAGGTGGTAGGGGCGTCATGGTTGTGGTACGACCAAGAAGAAACGTTCTGGAACTACGGCAGCAACTCGTGCAACGGGGGCTGGGCCAAGTGCGGCCACTTCTCCAACATGATGAGCCCCGAAGTCAAGTCCATGGCGTGCGGGTGGTCTGAATGCGCCAACGGCAACCACGTCTGGTGCAACTACGACACCCCTGTGAAGAGTCCCAAGGTGGGCAAAATCACAGGCATGACCAAAGCCGAGCTCAAGGCCAGCTTGACCGCCTAAGTGAATTTCCCGTTGTATATTTGTATGTTACAACTAAAAAAAATGTATTGTGTCACTTGAAATGTGTTTGATACTAGGGTAAGATTTAATGACGTACAATAGGCCCCAAAATCAGTCATTCATGTCTTGAGCAAAACCTGTGCTATTCACAATACGTTATCGAGGTACTTCTATCCAAAATACTACCAAAACGCATTGAAAGGTGAGTTTACTGTTAGTAACCAATCACATTGCTCATAGTCACATGTGTCGCACTGCCTGTCGAAGTGGATCTCGTTGTGTAACATATTCTACATTCAATTCAGCAAATCTCATGTGTCCTTGAGCAAAAAGCATGTGCGATTCAGCAATTCTTATGTGGCTCTCAGAAATTCTTATGTGCTCCTCAGTAATTCTTATGTGGCAATATTTTATCTTCTACTTGAAGGAGTTACTTCAAGTATACGTATAGTGTTCATGATTATAGTAATTGAGTTTGGATTATCTTTTATTTAAGACATTCCGTGAGGGAACCACATATTGGGGAACCGCTTCGCCAATTGTAACGCGCCTGCTAGACCAGGGACGGTGTGTAATCTTCGGTTTTTACTTTGAGTTAAGTAAGAAACCGATGCTCTACCACTGAGCTATTTTCCCTCCCCTGTATAGTGTTCATGAGAATTGCTACTAGTAGTATATAATGTCCGATGTGGAAATATCCGGATTTTTGGTGTCAGACCGACGAATTTCGAAATTACTGTCGAACCTATTCAGGAAGCCATGCTGGTCAAAATATGTATAATAACGTTATTAGAAATAACTCGGCTTCTTACGACTTTTGAATATCTCCAAGAATACTCATTTCCCATTGGCTGCCGACTAACTGGATTCGAAATTCGTCGTACTACGGCAGCAACTGGTGCGACGGGGACTGGGCCAAGTGCGGCCACTTCTCCAACATGATAAGCCCAGACGTCAACTCCATGCCGTGCGGGTGGTCCGAATGCGCCAACAGCAACTACGTCTGGTGCAACTACAACACCCCCGTGAAGAACCCCAAGGTGGGCAAAATCACCAGCATGACCAAAGCCGAGCTCAAGGCCAGCTTGACCGCCTAAGCGATTTTCGAGCTCTACATATTTGTACGTATGGAAGTATGTAGCAGCTAAGACAATGCTCTGTTTCACTTCACTCTTGAAATGTGTATTGACACGATTTTGTGACACAACGTGACGGATCTGTGATTGGCCGATTTTGTGCTCATTGCTCGCTAGAGTGACTGTGGTGCATGTTATGCGTGATTTTCGGAAGAAAAAATTAAGTGGAAGAGTTTATATTTCATTTTTAGGTCTAAAAATGGATACAGTATGCGGGGGCTGGTAGTGCCTTGAGGTGAAAATGTGTGAGTTGCCGCTAAAACGTTTTTTGTCAAAGTGGTTGACAGGGTGTCTGTGGTGATGTGATAGAATAAAAAGTGAATTGTTGATAGGACTCCTGTGGTGATGTGATTGAGATGTAAAAGTAATTTTGTCAATGTGGTTGAGAGAGGGCTTGTAACGTTAGTGAGTTTTCTATTTTTGGGGTAAATTGCTGCTTTTTTAAGTCCTTGTAACGTGAGTCATTTCTGTTTTATATGATCGAAATTTCTGCCAGGGTGAGCTAGTTGCTGTAAAATGTCACAAGGGATGTTTTGATTGAAATGGACAAAAGATTCAAGTGTAAGATTTTAAAGTGATTTTTTGATTTGAAAATGGACACGAGAGGGCTGGTAGTGCCTTGAGGGGAAATGTGTGAGTTCCGCCTTTACTACTGTGCTCGTGCAACAAGTGATTATTCTTTCTCGGTTTCGATAGATTTGCAATGAGTTCGAGTTACCTTCAGTCACCTCGTAGTCACCTCATCCGTCACGGCACTCGCCAGCAAGTCGCTTTGATTAAATGCGGACCCCATTGTTATCGGCCAAGCCTCTGTTCGACTCCCCGTGCCTGAGTGCGGGTAGCCGAATGATGGTCACGCACGACATTTGAAGAGTGTGAAATATGACCTGGATCTGGAGCGGCACATGTTCCGAGCTGATGGCACACTGTACGATGCATGACTTGTAGAGAGTAGTGAAGTGAAAGGAGGGAACTGACTGATTGACTGGATAATGAAGTTAATTTTGGATTTGTCATCGAGGTTAATCCGTAGTCGTCGGTTGCGAACACCGGCGCAAGACAACACCCATCCAAGACGTACGATGAAGACTTGCTGGACGGATCCGAATTGAACCGAAGCGACCAAATTACCGAGCTCAATGGCAGCACGGTGTTTGTGTTTCAGCTTAGAAACTTTGTAATGGTAGCTCAGGATTTTAAGAGGTGGCAGCGTAAATAGGAGACTCCAATGAAAACACATTGAAAGAAAGTGGTGCTTTCCAGTAATGTAAGTTTGACTTAACATGGATGCTGGACGATTCGATTCGAGCACCACTGCGAGGTGAGAGTACAGTCAACGAAGGAATGGTACGCCATCGAATTTCAAAAATTGACAACTGTATATTTGACCAATAATATTCAAACACAAAAATAAAGCCTTCTGATTGGCCGTATTATTTTTCTCCCGCCCGCGCGATATTTTTTTGATTTGCATGATCACTCGCCTCTCATTTCGAACAACATGAACTCGACGCTTCGAAAGTCAAAGCGCTGCTACAGTGTGGCAGTCAAGCTTGATATGCTTGGACAATTGGAGACTCAGACCGACAGCCAGGTTGCCAAAGCCACGGGTATATCTCGACGCACTATACGAGGATGGAAAGATCAACGCGACGAAATCCTGGCTTACACTGGAAACAAAAAACGCATGAAAATAAGCCCCGGTGGACGTTGCGAGATATTCCCCGACCCTGATGGACTCCTCGAGTTCATTACGGAAATGCGAAACAAAGAGCGAGCCCTGACAACGACTCATATCATCAATTGGATTAAACGTCACCAAGCGCAATGGCTACGACTCTATCTCAGTGGCAAGCAGCCCGGCACCGGCTACAATAGCCTCCTTCGCCTTCTGTAGTACTTTTGTAATCGCAAGGGCTTTACT